GTAAAAATCTAACAAGTAAAAGTAAAAAGTACACTGAAAAATAATTACTCAAGTAAAGTACAGATAACAAAAATTTCTACTTAAGTACAGCAACAAAGTATTTGTACTTAGTTACTTTACAACTCTTGAGTTTCAGTAAAGTTGATGCAGATGTTTGGATGTGGAACATCCGATAACAGAAAATGAGTTTTATATAAATTGTTGGACTGAATGTCTTTTATTCTAATCTAGATCTACAGTTTAGATTTTGTTAAAACAAACAAAAAAATACTGAATTAACTTTGACATTTGCTACAAACACGCCTATTTTTTTTCTCTGCAGAATGCAGCTTTCTGTCATTGTCTGCTTTTCATTTGCACGGCCATTTGAACTGTGTCTGTGTTTTGATACAGCAGCCAATACTTTTGACTGTCAGTCCGAAGGCCTGACGTCTTTTGGATCCAGTATGTTTGAATTTTTTATTAAAAATGACAGAGCACAAGAGCACTTAGTAAAGTGTACTTTACTTTAAGACATACAACGATGCACATACAGAATATTTAATTAAGAGAAAAATTTCAAGCCACAAAACTCGATATTTAAACCAAAATAAAGTAAATTATTTGGAACTAACTGCTTGTCTTAAAACCATTAGATATTGTTTGTGCAGTGTTTTTAATCATTTTGTTTGACAGATGGACTTCGTCCTGCTCAGCAGTGTCCCTCGCTGGTGGTGTCTCCTCTGCATGAAGCTCCAGAGAGACCAGCTGTGTTGCAGCTGCGAGTCCTCCTTTTTTTCCCTCCACTACAAGTGGACCAGGATGACCAGCAGGACCAGTTACCCTCTTGATTAACTGCAGGTCTCTTACCTGCAAACCATTGTTCATTTCAACACATAAGCTGAAAAAAAAACCCTGTTGTGTTGGGTAGCTGGGTGATATTTTACCTGTGTGTTGTGCTTTATCCCCCTTGTAGTTCTGGCAGGAAAGGCCTTCAAACTGGGACTGGCACATACAGATACACTTCCCATCCAGCAGAGCCAGCGTGCCTCCATTCTGACAGGGCTTGCACTTACACACATTATACTCAGCCACATAGTCTTCTATGGCTCTCTTTATGTTTGTTACCCTGGTGTTTGCGTTGGGTGAATCCAGAGGAATCAACGTATAGATGGGTTCTGGCTGCAAGAAACAAGACAAATGTTTTTTTACCTCCACCAAGGGCAAGGTAATGTTTTCGGTCGCGTATGTCTGTCTGTCTGTCTGTCGTTCTGTCTGTGAACAACATTATTCAAAAACTTGTAGACAGATTGTCATGGCATTTTTACCACATGTATACTGGGTCAAGGAACACACCATTAAATTTTGGTGATGTTCCGGATCACGATGCGGATACAGGATTTTTTTCTTTTAACACTCTGAGATCGGCAAAGCCGTGATGCTTTCACAGGGCTTCTGTAAAAAACAGTGAGCTGGGTTGGACAGCACGGACTTCAAACTTTATAAAAGTAATGTTAAAACCACATTTAATGATGAATAATTTTTGCCATAATGTGCAATTTTTACACATTTGGTGCACATTTACACAAGGTTTTGTGACCAGGAAGTGTGTGACTGCACCATGAAACCTATTTTTCCCATTTCCTCAAACACACCACATTTCCGAAACAACCAATCAAAACAGTTTCTCTACTAGGCTTGTAAACAGAGAGCTGCCGGGCCTCAAAGTTTGGAGACGGGGGGAGCCAGGAAGCACTTTATAAAGAGAGTCAAACCATTACAAACTCATACAAGGAGATAAAACAGACGTTTTACATGGTGAAATGTGACTGATGAAAACTTAGGAGCTTAATCCCACACCAGTTTCACCAAGAATAACGTCGGGTAACAACAGTCTGACTTGTTTTTTTTCACTTTGGACTCCACCAGGAAGAAATCCCGTGCATACTGCTGCTTAAACGTTCACTATGTCAGAACTTATTCAGCAAATGTGTGTCCATCTCTGCTTTTGTGCATTAACTCTTACAGGATGGGGGAAACTGGTCTTGGCGGAGGTTTGCACTTTCCGAGTGCTTCTAGTTTTTTTTAAACTTGACAGACAAAAAAAATGGTGATTCTGACTGTCCAGGTGAGATAGGCAGTCAGACTTACAGGACTCAGGTCGGTCAAACTGGGTTCTTATATCATCTTTAGTCTGTGTTCAGATTTTAGAAGGTAAGACTACTCTGCTAAATTAGTAGTAATGCTTTTCACTGCAAAGTCAACCCAACACTGCACATGACGAGTTCACGCAATCTAGAGACAGACAAATGTCAAGTTTTCCTCTTAACGTCTCTTATGGCCCTTTTCCACTAGTGCCACTTAGTGTAGTGTCGGTACGATTTGGTATGGTTCCAAGCCATTTCCATTAGGCCAGATCCATGGAACCGGCACTTTTTTTTAGTACCTAGTTCATTGTGGTCCCAACCGGCCCCAGCTGACACCATAAATGCGACGTCAGAACACTGTTCGTCACTGATTGGCTAGGTTTTTACAAATGTTTGAAAGTTCAAAAGTTATTCATCAAATGTGTTTCCATCTCTCATTTTGCCCATTAATTTTTTTTGTAAATACCTAAAAATCAACTCCTCCAACCGCCCAAAACACACCCATTGGAACCGGACTGGAACATCAGTGGAAAACCAACTGGTCCGACCCGCACCGACCCGCACTTACACCGACCGTTCCGACACTGCACCATGGAAAAGGGGCATTAGTGAAACTGATGCCTGTTTTCTGCACTGAGATCTCAGTTTTTCCTGCTCCATGGGTCGACCTCCCTCTGTAGTGAAAGGCTGTTTTACATTCAAAAAATGTAAGAAAAACTAATTTGGTTCGAGATGTGAACCACAGTCTATTATTTAGAAACCCTCGCTTATTGTCTGCAAGAAGGGCAAAGGAACCCACTTCATTTTTTAAGACCCAATTTTTTTCCCTAAAATATCTTAATGAACCCATAAGAACCTATTTATTTCTACAGAATATTAAACAAAAAGGGATAAACAGTTTTTAATGTTTGCACGTGTCACTTTGAATTTTGTAAGCTATAATTGAAGGTTAAAGTCAGATGAAAATTTTTGGAACAATGGGCAGTTGTACTGTAAATATATAGCAAATAGTTGAAGCCTTTTTCATTCTAAGGGTGATGAAAACACAATGGAGAGGTTGGGGGAAAACTGAGTGACAGGCAGGTGCACCTAATTAAATCTCAGATGAAGACATGGAATAATTGATTACTGTATGAGGATGTAATCCAGTAGGCATTTGAAAGCATATCCTAAACATACATAAAATGTGGGTGTTTTTTCTGTATGTGCATGAAATCATAACCCAATTACATGAATGGGCAAGATGTTTAATCAAATTACATTTATCATATGTTTTGTTAATGAGCTCTGTGTGTTGCTATAATATGATTATGCTATGTTGGTCACAACAGTGTCTGACAACAGTTTAAGAGTGATCTCTTCATGTATCAGTCCAATGTGCATTGCCAAATAATAAAAGACTCAAACCTAAACGGTGTTTTTAAAAATTAATGGTGAACCAGATTGTATTCTAATTGTGTAACATTGCCAGTGGGAGTACCGTAAATTAAATCAATAATGTTCCAGGTGGCCAAGCACTTGACTTGAAGTGGGAGCCAGGGACTTTCCATGACATTACAGACAGGCCAAAGTAAAGAAGAGGGATGGTTCAAGCCCAGAGATGGGTATTGCTCACTACCAAAGGAAATAAAACAAGTTGTTTCACATTATTAGATTTAGTCAGTGTATACCCAACCCACCACCTTTAAATATCCAGCTGTCCTTGAGACAAGAAATAAATCTTTTTAAGCTTGACTCGAACTCAACTGAGTTAATGACTATTCAATATATTTTTCTGGTTGAAAATTTTTAGATTTTCTACGCGAGAAAATTTTTCTGTTAAAACATGAAATTCTGTATATAAAACATTTAAATTAAATGCATTTTTATGCTTAGTGGTGCTTTTAATCCACACCTTCTTGGGCTCATTTTATTCAAGTGTTTGTTTCAAGTATTTATTTTTGATGTATTCCTGTCTAGTACCTGCGGAGCCCACGAGGGGATTTTTTTCTTTTGTATTCCCACGCAATACCTTTGCGTTACCTCGCAATACCTTTGTGTTACCTCACAATACCTTTGCTTTTCCTCGCAATACTTTTGCGTTACCTCGCATTACTTTTGCGTTACCTCGCATTACTTTTGCGTTACCTCGCATTACTTTTGCGTTACCTCGCATTACTTTTGCGTTACCTCTCATTACTTTTGCGTTACCTTGCAATATTGTTTTGCGTTCCCACGCAAAAGTTTGATTTGTATATGAACTGAATTAAATCAGACTTTTATTTTGAAATATCCGGTTACCAAAACAGGATGTGTCGCCACAAGTTCGTGAAATTGACATTGATGTTGCGTGGCTGCACTGTGTTAAAATATCAGCAAATGACATACTTCCATGTGTCCAACAACCTGTGGACTGACATGCGGTCATGTTTCACAACTGTTCCTCATAACTGCTTAAAAATAATAATAATAAAAAAAGAACACAGTGTGAAAGGAGAAAATGATTGCAATAGCTCAAGAGGAAATTGTGGATAAACGAGGAAAGGACACTGTAATAGTTTGGTTTTTTGGTTTCTGTTTTTGTATTTTGGTTAGGTTTTTTTTTAGGTCCTGTTTTGGGGTTTTGTTCATGTGGGTTTTCTGTTAAGTTCYTTTTTGTCTCAGGTGTGTTCAGTTCTGTGATTAGTGTTGCTTTTGTTTCCTCAGGTGTTTTCTGTTACCTCATTAGTTTTCCTGTGTATTTAAGCTCTGTCTTGTCTCTGTGTCAGTGTCCGATCATTGTGCTGCAAAGCTTGTCTCGTTTTTCATGTTTCATGTAGTTTTTTCGCCACGTCTTTCTAGTGAGTTTTTCCAGCTGCCTCGTCAGCTTTTTGATTTAATAAAGACCATATTTTTGTTACACCTGAACTCTGCCTGTGCCCTGGGTCATTC